GTCACCACTTTGCAGTGTGAATCGCCCTATGTGACACCTCTCATAAACCGGTAAACAGTGAGAATTCTAGCATTTTATACCCTCTAGGCCACGGATATGCTTGGTCTATCCAATCAGGATATAGCTTTGTGTAAGTTAGCCTAATGACAGGACGTACTCCGAAATACATCTGGTCCTGTACGATTTTCATAATCTGATTCCTCAACATGACGTTGGGGTCATATGGAATCCCTACAGGTTGGTTGACCGGTTGATTTGCTTGAGGCCTGATGTTTGGTCCTTAATTGTGAACAAAGTTACTATGATTTGGGCCATTGTTACCATTAGCCTAAACATTTATTCCCTCATTAACACGTGGGGTATTCTGCCCATTATTTAGGACATTATCTCTTACATTTGGATTACCCCCTAAATTAGACGTACCAATACCACTATTCTGATTTGGTATTGCACCACCCCGTGGTTTGAAGTAGAGGGATTAAGAGATGGTTCTACCCCTTGATTTAAACTTAGGACTGGGGGATTATGTCCCACAATTGTCCTAGTTTGAAGGTGGTTCGTAAGAGGCACAACTGGCTGACAAATTTGACCTACCAACTTATTCATTATTTCGTTCAAAGTATTCAGTTGTTTGGCCATGTTGTCATAATGTGCATTCCCATTCTGGGTAAATCTTTTCATATTATGAATACTTCGTAGATTTATCTGTTCAACGACATATTGTGTGAGTTTTCTGAGTAATGCACGCATGGTTTGAGGACTCAACTCTGTCATTGGTTCATAGCGACTGTGATTGCTCTGATCCTGTCCATCTGTTCTGAAGAGCTATTCTGCTCTTTATATCGATCGATCACAGATTGGACTCCTCCCTGACTTGCTGTTTCCTTATCAGATTTTTAAGACATATTGTTTCACCTTTTGTATCTTCAACACCAAACACCAAGGTCCCACTAGGCGTGCCAAATTATTTCGCGCGGGTATTCGCTAACAATTAAAAAGGAGTCAGATGATTATGTAAGGGACAAACCTCTCGAGACAAAGTCCCAAAAATGGGTGTTTTATTGTCAATGACTTTACAATTGGAATTTAAACAGAAATGCATCCAAGGGGCGCAAGCACACGAGTACTGAAAAGAAATGTTTTAAATCTAAACTAAGAAATTGAAATTATATATTCTTCGTTTGAGAGTGTTTGATTCGGGTCCTTTGCTCAATATCTTTTCTTCCTTTTATATTCCTTTGATGCTCTCTTTGTGGTCAACCGCTTAGAAACCGCTTAATTGCTTTATAATTGCCTACTTTCTTCATGGTGGCCAACTTATCGTGGAACTACCGTCTCTAACTGCTGCCATTACTCTTTGTCGTTCAACCGTCCTCAACTAAACATCCTTGAATCGTGGAACGTGATAAGATTACCCAATAACTGCTTCGATAATTGCACTTTTGGATAATCATAACATCTCATGTTTGCTAAGATCTTGGGCGATTCGAAAGTTTAGGCGAGAACGGGGTCATAACTCTGGGCGACTGCAAGACACTTCATTCGCTCAGATCCTGGGCGTCTTGTAAGTTTGGGCGATGGTGTTACCGTGTGCGTGAGCTTCCACTGCATTCATTAATAACCCTATTTGAGTCTTTATCCTGAATTGTCCAGTTGGGCTTCATTCTTTGGGTTATTTGAATTGAGCTGCACTTTTAGCATGTCAACAAGATCATAATTTCTTAGATTGAATTGAACCTTTAATTTAATGTCATCAATGATATCACCTAAATCGTGTTACATATTCGTGGTGCCAAATTACTTCATTGGAAAATCCTCTTTCGCCCAAATGAATTACTTAAAAATTGTTTCGAAATACCAAAAAAAACATAAAAAAAATACCACGAACGGCATAATTTGGATGAGAAATGAAAAGTGGTGTGAAACAATCCTCATTTTCAATTTTGTTATTTGTACATCAAGTTTAAGAGTTTGGTTGACGTTATTTGATGTGGCAGATATAATAGCCATTGATTTTAAACAATACTCATTCAAATCAATGGTCAAATTTCTCACACATAAGAGGGTGTCAAATTCGATGTATAAGTAGATTAATTCGTTTCGTATTGGTTAGAAAATGGATCAATTATATAGCCCTTGTTTTAGCCACATTCTTTAGAAAATAATTTATTCTTAAACAATAATTTAATATTATTTCAATCATACATTTTTGAATAAAAAAATATTATACGTAAATTTAAAACATTTTCTTATTTTTTAATATCACATTTCACATCATAACACTATTTAAAAATGTATTTTTTTAACAAAAGTAGGGTTCAAACAACACTTAAAATTTCTACTTCCGTATGACAAATTCCCCTGCCGAAAACTACAAATACCGGGACAGAAAGGACTACTGTAGCAAGGGCGCACGTTAACCAATGTCCCAACACCGGCTCACTTTAGCATCCTCCTTTTACATCTCCACCTGTGTCTACGCTTCTTCTCTACTCTTCTCATCGCGCTCTCTCTCATCGCATTATCTCTCTTAGGATTAGGGTTCGCCTTCCTTTTTATCTACAACACCCTTAGCTACTTCTACCGTATTTTTTTCCCCGCCCCCAGAATTTCTCCAATGCCCTTCAAAGATCCCGGTTCTGGACTTTGGTTTTCACTCTGTAATTTGAGCAACACAGTAGATGGATTTCAAGAAGAAATACTCTTATACAAATCTCTTCAATCTTGAGGTACTTTTCATATGGGCTTTCTGAGTTCTGAAATGGTTTCTCTCTGTTTTTTGCAACTAAGGCGTGCAATTTGTTAATTAGCTGATCTTTTCGCTATGAAGTTGGGGTTTTAATGATTAATGAAACTGAATTTGTGTTTTGTAATCTTTGAGGGGTAAATTGGGACCTCTCTGTTTAATGCGATCTGGGTTTAGTTGATAGGTTGGAATTTTTTTTTTGGTTGTTTTGGTTATTTATTTTTTATTTATTTTAATATTGTAATATTTTGTTGCTTTGTAGTCTTTGATGAACTTTCAACTGCCGAAACAAGATGATGATTTTGATTATTATGAAAATAGTAGTCAGGATGAGAGCAAAGGTAGCCAAGGTAGGCTCTTTGCTTGTTACAAGCCTACAATTTTCATTTAGTTTCTCGTAATATTTTTTTCGAGTTGAATTTCTATAATCCACATGGATTAAATTTTGAAAAAAGCCGGATTTTCAGTTCACAAATTTTATACCGTCTTCCTCAGTCACTTATCCACATGTCCACAAAGTATATGGTTTAGTTTTAGTTATTTCAACTAATGGTTTTTTGAAATTGGTCCATTATGAGGCATTTGATGATTTTGCATGTTGGTTTTCTGCTTTTTAAATAGGTGGAGCAGTGCGGAAACGCAGTAATGGATTAATGTCAGAAAGGGGATTGAAGAAGAAGAAGCGGAGCTTTAATAGTAGTGACGACGACGAGGCTAGAAGTTACAGTCCTCAAATTACAGAAGAGCGATACAGAGCAATGCTGGGAGAACATATTCAGAAATACAAGAGGAGGCTGAATAATTCATCGCAAAGTCCAGCATCGATCCGTACTGGAACTGCAGTTACAAAAAGTAGTATAGGAACAAAAGATCAGAAATTGGCAAATGATCATCGATCCACTTCAGATTTTCTCAACACCACCAATTCTCAGAAGTTGGGAAATTATCATGAGGCTGAGTTTGGACTTCAATATGGTGCAATTAGGTGTTCTCCTTTTTTTTGTTCTCTCATTTACACTTAGTGCTGTTATAAAAAATACACCGTAGATTTTCAAGTTCAGCTATTGATAAGAGTTATAGTATGATATTCCTCATACATAATAGTTAATAAATTCCTGTTTCAGATAGTATTTAGAAGTTTCTTGATATTTCAATGAGTACATGCATTTTATATAACCTCAATTGGAACATGATTTTAGAACTACGGTGACCTGCGTTTGTGTTTACCTTTTTATAAAAGCTACAAGAGTTTCTAGATATTGGTAATGAGGGTGTTGACTCACGTAAAAGAATTAAACATTTATGCAGGTGATCTCCTAACTTTTGACTGAATAGAGTTGGGTGCCTAGTCATTTGTCAAAAGTAAAAGAAATTAGTGTTTAGTAGTTCAGAAATACATTAACTATGAAAGCATATGTAGTCCTTATTTTTATTGTTATGGAAAAAAAGAAAAGAAACATACACTAAAATATACTCGAGTTCATTTTTGCAAGGACTAAAATTGAAGTCTAAATATGAGTATAAATTTATTTTTATCAGGATCAGTAGAAGAAAAATGGTTTCATTCTGTATTTTTTGTTGGTGGGGTGGGATGAATCTTCTGAACCTAAGAAATTTTTTTCCCTATCAGAAGTTGCAATTTTTTTTTAATGGATATATCTAATAATCTAAACTATTTGCATATACTGTGGTAGCCAGTTAATAGAGAGGTAACTATATGCATGATAGATGTTCTAGATACTTTTCATCTGGTAAGGAACTTACTTTCTGGTGAATTATCTAAAATTGCAGACCAAATTATGAACCTGCCCTGTTGGACATTGGGGATGGGATCACTTATAGGATTCCTCCACCATATGAAAAACTCGCTTCATCATTGAGCTTGCCAAGCACGTCAGACGTCAGGGTTGAGGAATTTTACCTGAAAGGTACCCTTGATTTGGGGTCATTGGCCGAAATGATGGCTTCTGATCGCAGGTTTGGAAAGAGGAACAAGGTGGGAATTGCTGATTCCAAGCCTCAGTATGAATCTCTTCAGGAAAAATTGAAAGCCCAGTCAGCTAATAACTCAGCGGAGAAGTTCAGCCTAAAAATCAGTGAAGCTGCATTACAGTCTAATGGTATTCCTGAGGGGGCAGCTGGACGGATACAGCGGTCTATCTCGTCGGAAGGCGGTGTCTTACAGGTTTATTATGTGAAAGTATTGGAGAAAGGAGATACATATGAGGTCAGTAAATTTTTTTCCACCTCCTCCTTTTCATATGCCGATCAGTTTCTTTGTTACCCATCCAGGTATGAATATGTGGTTCTACAGATTATTGAACGCAGTTTACCCAAAAAGCCAAAGGTGAAGAAAGACCCTTCCGCCATCGAGAGGGAGGAATTGGAGAAGATTGGTAAATATTGGATGAACATCGTAAGAAAAGACATTCCAAAGCATCACAGGGCTTTCACCAACTTCCACAAGAAGCAATTAACTGATGCTAAGAGGTTCTCTGAACTTTGTCAAAGAGATGTACGTGTTACTGGAGACGTTTCTGCACTCTTAATATTTCATTTTCTTGGTGAAGAATGATTGTCACACCATTCTAGTGGGTTTATGTTCCTCATGATTTAGTGATGGTTCTTTGTCAGGTGAAAGTGAAGGTCAGCAGATCGCTCAAATTGATGAGGGGTGCTGCAATTCGAACAAGGAAACTGGCTAGAGATATGTTAGTATTCTGGAAGAGAGTTGATAAGGAGATGGTACAAATTTATAGACTTTGTTTACTTTTTTGAACATGAAATAGTCGCCCACACATTGCTAATATCAAGCCAATAATGAACCTGCAAAGGCTTTGTTGGACAAGAACTTGAAATGGATTCTAGATTGCTCAATTTTCATTGTGAATGAAGATAATTTATCTGCTAGAAAATGTTTACATGGTAACTACTTTGTAGAACAACTAATCTAAAGAGTTCGTTTTTGTGAAATATTCTCTTGAAGGCGGAAGTAAGGAAAAGAGAGGAAAAAGAAGCTGCAGAAGCTTTGAAGCGTGAACAGGAACTTCGTGAAGCGAAGAGGCAGCAACAGAGACTCAACTTTCTGCTGTCACAAACTGAACTTTACAGTCATTTCATGCAGAACAAGACAACTACACAAACCTCTGAAGCATTAACTGCAGGTGATGAAAAGTCTAGCCAAGAAATGCTGTTGAGTTCTTCAGAAGCTTGTCTCGAAGAGGACGACGACCTTGAAGATGCTGAACTAAGAAACGAAGCTTTAAAAGCCGCCCAGGATGCAGTTTCAAAGCAGAAAATGATGACAAGTGCATTTGATAGTGAATGCTTAAGGCTTCGGCAAGCTATTGAAACTGATCCAAGCCTTCAGGATGTCTCAGTTGCAGAGTCCAGTAACATTGATTTACTACACCCGTGAGTGTTTTCTCTACATATTTTCAATTGGCTGAAATATTTGCATCCGATACATCTCAGTAGTGATCTTTCACATACTAAAACACTAGTTTCTAATGATGCCAGATCAACCATGCCTGTAGCTTCAACGGTGCAGACACCTGAGTTATTTAAGGGTTCCCTTAAAGAATATCAGCTGAAAGGCCTACAGTGGCTGGTAAATTGTTATGAACAGGTAATAAGACAATCATTTGCTTTGCCACCCTTTTCTAGAACTATGTGCTTTTTGGTCGGTTATTAGCTTTGGTACACCAACTTCCTTTGTCAGGGCTTAAATGGTATTCTTGCTGATGAAATGGGCCTAGGGAAGACAATTCAAGCCATGGCATTCTTGGCTCATTTGGCTGAAGTAAGTAATCAATGTAATGATATTTTACCTATCTAGCCCTGGTTTTAACTTCAACTGGTTTTAAATTCAAGCCATGGCATTCTTGGCTCATTTGGCTGAAGTAAGTAATCAATGTAATGATATTTTACCTATCTAGCCCTGGTTTTAACTTCAACTGGTTGTTCTGTAATAGGAAAAAAACATATGGGGGCCTTTTCTGGTTGTTGCTCCTGCTTCTGTCTTGAATAACTGGGCTGATGAAATCAGTCGTTTCTGCCCAGATCTGAAGACACTTCCATATTGGGGTGGTCTTCAAGAGCGTACGGTATTAAGGAAGAACATCAACCCAAAACGTCTGTATAGGAGGTATTCCATTTCTAAGCTCATATTCTGTTCTTTTAAGAGATATCACGAATCAGCCGATAACTTTCATATCTCTGTGTGGTTGTTACGAAATGAGTTCTTGATCAAATCTTGAACTGTGACCAATAGAACTAACTTTATGAATTTGATGGGCATGTGTGTCTTCAAGAGCGTACGGTATTAAGGAAGAACATCAACCCAAAACGTCTGTATAGGAGGTATTCCATTTCTAAGCTCATATTCTCTTCTTTTAAGAGATATCACGAATCAGCCGAAAACTTTCATATCTCTGTGTGTGGTTGTTACGAAATGAGTTCTTGATCAAATCTTGAACTGTGACCAATAGAACTAACTTTATGAATTTGATGGGCATGTGCGAGTTACATTTGAACTTATCTAACGTGATTTCAGAGTTATTCATCTCACTGGAACATCTCAATGAAGAAAAATACCATTTCAATACATGGAAGGTGAAATATCAATAATTATGCAGTCACTAGTACATGAGACTAGGAGTGGACCTAGTGGTTGCTTATTGCTCTGCAGGACGAAACATGAGCTTCTTTGAAAGCAACATTGGTTTTGGAACTTCACCCAGATGCTCGTTTAAAAAATGTCACTTTTATGTTTTGGTGTTCTTGAACCTTGAGTTGCCAAGACTTGGCAAGATTAATATATTTTTGAGGATTTCATTTTCATTTTTCTGGAAAAATATATGGATTTGGTATATTATCTTATGAAATAGCATCTCATGGTTCTGGTGCTGTCTCATTTTCATGATGAGCTGCCTCAGCTGTCGCCCTCTTCACTTTCCTCCCCTCACCCCCTCCCCCCAAGCCAATCGTTTGTCTTTCTTAATATTTCAGAAACACTAGTTTAATCCTATTGTTTTTCTTTAACTGATGAAGTAATACTTTCTTTTTAGGGATGCTGGATTTCACATTCTCATTACGAGCTACCAACTTCTAGTTTCGGATGAGAAGTATTTTCGCCGTGTGAAATGGCAATATATGGTGTTGGATGAAGCCCAAGCGATTAAAAGTTCAAATAGGTTTGGACATTTATTTCCATGTCCTTTTTGACTGAACCATTTTTTTCTTGTATTAGCCTATATTCTTGTCAATTCCTATTTACTTTTGCCAGTATTAACATGACCAATTAATTTAGCTGATAGTTTTTACCTACTGTCAGCTGAATCTTCCAGAAAGACTAGCAGGTGCAAACTGCAAAGCATGAAAAAAGTGAACTAGTAATAGCAAATTTGGTTTATTTAAAGCGTAAATTTTCAACTCCTATCTCACTAATACACAACAAAATAAAAATAATATGTCTGTTTCTTTATAATATTCATTTTGTATGTTTCTTTATAATATTCATTTTTTTGGTGAACTGCAAGTCTGCAATTGAGAAAGAAAACCACTATGCAGCATGCACATTTGCTTGTATTCTTTGTTGAGAAAGACAGACATATATATTTTGTGGTCTCTATGACTCTTAGCTTGTTCCTTCAAATGCATTGCTTGACCTCTTCTGTTCTTTTATCTACTTGATTCGTGATAGCCTATGATGCTTAGCATCTGAGGCATCTAGGTACCTCATTCTCGAGTCTTTAGCAACTATTCTCAACAATTTATGTTGGTTGGATGACTACTGTTACTTTTGGGTTTGACTATCTACTGAAAAACTTCACATTTGATTGTGGAGTTATATATTATATATATTTATGTACAAGTATTTGTATAAAGTCATCTAAACCTCTTGAATGTTGAGATGACAGTATTCGATGGAAGACACTACTTAGTTTCAATTGTCGAAACCGCTTGCTTCTTACTGGTACTCCGGTTCAAAATAACATGGCTGAGCTATGGGCACTCCTGCATTTCATTATGCCAACCTTATTTGATAGCCATGAACAATTCAATGAATGGTTTTCAAAAGGGTATGTTTCTCTATCCAAGTGTTAATCTCTCCAAACTTCAAAAGACCACTTCCTTGTGATTTATTACCCTTGTACAATCAGAATTGAAGGTCACGCAGAGCATGGTGGGACATTGAATGAGCACCAACTTAATCGACTGGTAAGTACCGACATATACATTTTTTAATCCATTGAATATAATGGATAATCTTACGTCGTGGGACTTGGAGTCGCATAGTTTCATAATTTTATTTAAGGAGCATATCTCATTGAGCACAGTGAATATGGTACGACTGTGGAACTTGAATTCTGAATTTGAAATATTATTTGAGGGCCCATCTTCTGTCTTCTTATGGACACAAAATTACATCTTTGTGCAGTGTTCGAAGTCGTCAAACTCATCGAACATCCCTCTTTTTAAATGAGGAAAGGATAAAACTAAATTGGCGTATGTCTGTACTCTGTAGCAACGTAACAATGTATATCAATAATCTAAGTTTACTGTTAAAAAAAAAAAAGCGAAAAAATAAATGGAAGGTCCTCATTAAAAGTCTAAAATTTTCAGCTTTACAGAAGGGTTTAACTGAATACACCAAGTAATTCCCCATCTCAAGATGGAATAGGTTGTGGCAATGCACTAGCAGTGCTTAACAAAATTGACAATAGATTGACTTGAATCTCGTAGTTAACTCATTATTCTCTTTCTAATACATTAATGTTTATCACTTTCCCACTTCAGCTCTATTTTGTATGGGATTCCTACACATTAATTATCAATTGTTAGATTGGCGTGTTGGATTTTTATTTTTTGGTATTCTCAGTTTCATTTGCTTCTCTCTTCCTTTTCTTGCTCATCTGCTCGCTTTCTTAAAACAGCATGCCATTCTGAAGCCTTTTATGCTGCGACGGGTCAAAAAGGATGTGATCACTGAGCTAACTGGGAAAACTGAGATCACAGTACACTGTAAGTTGAGTTCTCGCCAGCAAGCATTTTATCAAGCTATAAAGAACAAGATATCCCTTGCAGAGTTGTTTGATGGAAACCGTGGACATCTTAATGAGAAAAAAATTCTGAACCTGATGAACATTGTCATCCAGCTGAGGAAGGTAGTTCGTTATTTGAGTTGGTTTTGTTTGTTATTTTTGCTGATGTAGATACTATAATAAAGCTAAGAGCATCTTTGGTTGTGCATAGAAGTAAGTCAAATTTAGCCCCAGTTTGACAACCATTATTTGAAAACTTTTTTTCTACATACTCATTTTCAATCACATCACACAATCAAATATTTTGCATGTAAATCCAAAATTTTTCATACTTTTTAACCACACATTCTTCTAAAAATCACTATTCAAAACATTGTTTTGTCTCAATAAGTTACTTATTTTGTAAAACATGATTTTCAAGGTTACTTTTTTATTAACAAAACTCATTTTTCTTGAAAATTAACTTTTAAACATAACCAAACATGCTCTTAGATCCTTTCTGAATTTTAATTTGAGTTCCTATTCAATTCTTAAACAAATATCTTTTGTTTTGTACTCCAGGTATGCAATCATCCAGAGTTATTTGAGAGAAATGAAGGAAGCACATATTTTTATTTTGGAGAAATTCCAAATTCGCTCCTCCCTCCGCCCTTTGGGGAATTGGAAGAGATACACTATTCTGGTGGTAGAAATCCCATCACATATGAGGTAAATTTAAAGCTGCTTTGGTGGTGGTATTACTTGGAAACATATCAAATTATCTTCAGAATCTGAGTTGGCTTGAAAAAAATACTACTATTTTTTGTCAATGTAGAAAAACAATGGGTGCTAATGCCGCAGTCAGACGAAGCTGAAATCTAGCTTTAATGATCATTTGACAGCACCATCTTAACACATTATAGAGTTATGCTTTTTAAAATGTTTGCATATACACCTGATTAGGAAAATTTGGTAGGTCTAGGATCCTGTGAAAGCAATTATTTGCCCCACTGAAGCAAATAGTTTATAGAAATAATTCTTTTGTGAAGAACTTTCATGCATGTCTGCAAAAAAGCTGACACACATCATTATGGTGGGAAAAGTTGCATCTCTTTATTGCTTAATTAGCAATTGCCTTGATCCAAATTTAAATAGCTCTTATAGAATATATTTTAGGTGATTATGTTGATTTCCTCCTGATGATCTTAATACATTAACAACGTCCGTTTCGATTTTTTCTGTCATTTCTTTTGTTATAGATTCCCAAATTGGTCTACCAAGAAGTAGGCCATGGTTCAAAGATACAACACTCAGCAGCAGGGCAAGGTATAAGCAGTGCATCATTCCAGAAGTATTTTAACATATTCTCTCCAGGAAACGTTTATCATTCCATATTTCAGCAAGACTACATTTTGGGTGGTACTTGTGTACAAAGTGGAACTTTCGGATTTTCTCGCTTGATTGATTTGTCACCGGGGGAAGTATCATTTCTGGCAACTGGTTCCATAATGGAGAGATTACTGTTCTCAGTTATGAAATTAGACAGGCAATTTCTAGATGGAATGTTGGACCTGTTGACAGAGAATGTGGATGATGATATCCACTTTGCTCACATTGGTAAGGAAAAAGTTAGAGCGGTCACACGAATGTTGCTATCACCATCTAAATCAGAGTCAAAATTACATATAAGGAGGCTCGCTGGGGTTTTTGGGGGTTCTCCCTTTGAGGCTCTAGTCATGCCATACGACGATAGGCTACTATCAAATATCAACATTTTGCATTCAGTATACTCTTTCATTCCAAGAACAAGAGCACCTCCGGTAAGTGCTACTGTTTCTCATTGAGCATGTTTGTCTTAGCTTAAATAAAAAAGGTAACTTTTTATGTTCAAACTTTTTAAAAGTAACTCTTACCTAGTTGTCAAAAATAAGTAACCATCTTATTTCCAACTTTTGACCAAATTAAAATATATATATACTTATAATGTACTTATTTACTTTTTAAGTAAATTTATTATAAGTAAGCCTGTTAAACTTAGCTAAACATTCTCAAATCTGTAGTTCATTAACTATAGTACATGTGCCCTGATGTTTTCTTGTGATTTTGTATTTGGCTACTAGATAAATGCCCACTGTTCAGATAGAAACTTTGCATACAAGATAACTGAAGAGTGGCATCATCCCTGGCTTAAGAGGGTGTTGATTGGATTTTCACGGACATCTGACTGTAATGGCCCTAGGAAGCCAGGGCCTCCCCACCAATTAATACAAGAGATTGAATCTGAATTGCCAGTTTCTCAACCTGCTCTTCAGCTTACATATAAGATTTTTGGGTCTTGTCCACCCATGCAGCCATTTGACCCAGCAAAGATGCTTACGGTTCGCTGTTTGCGCGTGTATTCTTAATACTTATTTTAATAATTCTTTGTACCAAGTGCTTCTTTGACATGTTATTTTTTCGCTTTTTTCCAGGACTCCGGGAAGCTTCAAACGCTTGATATACTGCTGAAACGTTTGCGTGCAGCAAATCACCGTGTTCTTCTCTTTGCACAAATGACAAAAATGTTGAATATTCTAGAGGTATTTTAAATTGTTTTCACATATAAGGATTTACATAACAAATTATACTTGAGCATGTGAAATATAGTTAGGCTGGCTGATTTTTTCTCAATGAAGATGGATTATTCATTGTTGGGAATTGGTTAAATAGACCAGGCTATCTATTATTACTTCACCCTGTAATCGTTTCCTCCCACACTTTATTTTTATTGTTATTGTGTTGTGTTATTTGTGGTAAGGTGGGGTGGGGGGCCTTCAAAATAATAATGTTGATTGTGTCTCTCAGAAGATTAAGTCGAAAACAAAATCTTCAAGTAGTTGGTTGAGCGACAGCATTTCTGTATATGTTTCTCTTCTGATTATGGAGAGTAAAAGATAAACTGTCTCACCCTCATTTCTGACATCGTGATTTTGTTGGCAGGACTATATGAACTATAGAAAATATAGGTATTTAAGGCTTGACGGATCGTCCACGATAATGGATCGTCGAGACATGGTTAGGGACTTCCAGCATCGGTATGTGCTTAATTTTATTGCTTTTTTAATCTCCCCTAAGTGCATGTTTAGTATATTGTATTGGATTGGACTGGACTCCATGACAATTAAAATGTTATCGTCTTTTTCTTTTTTTTTTTTAAGTACCGTGCAGTACTATCCAATACTCTATATCGAACATGCTATAAATGTGAAAAATTTCTGAGCTTTCTGCAAAATCACCTTTATTGTAGGAACGATATCTTTGTGTTCTTGCTGAGTACAAGAGCTGGTGGTCTGGGTATTAACTTGACAGCTGCTGACACCGTCATATTTTATGAAAGCGATTGGAATCCAACTTTAGATTTACAGGCAATGGACAGAGCTCATCGGCTGGGTCAAACTAAAGACGTTAGTTTCGTTCTCAATGCTTGACCCTTTCTTAAACTCTAAGCATGTCAATAGTTCTAAGCTGACTGTATTGCCAGTCTATTTGTGCCTCTTTTTAACATTTGATTCTCTGTGAAGTGGGAAATAACTTTTGATAGGTAAACATTAATGGGATATGTGCAATTTTTTTGTTCGCTTATTTTCTTAAATAAGCTCAACTGTATATGTTATGTTTTTATCCTTGTTTCTGTGATTGACTTATAAGCTTGGTAGTAGTACATAACTAAAGCAGCATATATAACCCATTCTTGTGGAGATAGTTTTACCTTTAATTGTTATCATTGTGCTAGGGAAACCATATAAACTGTTAAACTAAATTATGAACTGGTTTTAATTTTTAAAAAATTCCTCAAATTTGTCTCTTAATTCCTTCTCTTTCTCCATATTTCACTTGTTATACTGAATAATTTTTCATTTGACAGATCAATTTTTTTTTTAATTACACATCGTTTAAAAACTCGTCTGTCAGATAAATGTGTCAATCTATTTGTGTTATATATCCTCCATATCTTGATTTCAAGTGTTTATGGGCCTTCTTGGTTTTGTTTCCTATATTTAGAAGTGGATTTTCAATCATGCAGGTTTCTGTATATCGCTTGATTTGTAAAGAGACAGTTGAGGAAAAAATCTTGCAGAGGGCTAGTCAGAAAAACACAGTGCAGCAGCTTGTCATGACAGGTGGTCATGTTCAGGGTGACCTCTTGGCTCCAGAGGATGTTGTATCTTTACTGATTGACGACACTCAACTGGAGCATAAACTAAAAGAAGTTTCACAGCAGGTGCGCTGTAAATTCTTCTCTGTTTCTTTTCCTTAATTTCTGAGACACATGATTCCTACCTGTGATTTTGAATCCAAAAGTGCCTGGGTAATGCTGAAATACTTGCGTCCTCCAAAACCAGGCTAAAGATAGGCAAAAGAAGAAAGGAGGAACAAAGGGCATCCGGATTGATGCAGAAGGCGACGCATCTTTGGAGGATCTTGCAAACCCTGAGTTGCAGGGGACTGAATCCGAGCCTACTGATGCCGATAAATCAAAGTCCTACAATAAAAAGGTCATAATCTTTAATATTTATTTTTAAGCTTATCCAATCATTCTCATCTCCATCTCAAGTCACCGCTTTATTTGATCCTATAACATTTTAACCGAACTAGATTATTTCCAAGTAACATCAATTTTTCTGAGAGTAGGATAGAAGAGATTGGAATACAATGTTTCAGAATCTGATGCATGCTTTGAAACGGATCTTACAACTTCTAAGTTATATGTGGATGGTGGCAGCGAGAATTTTAGTTAATATTTATTTATAATATTATTATGCTCTTTGGATTACATCCCAGCCGAGATCAACATACTCGATAAAATATTTCATCGGCAATGGACATTCTCTTTAATAGATGATAAGATTTGTGTCTACATATCACAGCACGTACATAATATGGCTATCTTGTCTCTCCGCAGAGGAAAATGGCATCGGAAAAGCAAACCCAACCGAAACCAAGGGCTCAGAAGAACTCCAAAAACATTGACTCTCTGTCTCCTAGCACGGCGCCAATGGACCATGAGATGGATGATCTCCCTCAGAACACACCACAACAAAGACCAAAGAGGTTGAAGAGGCCAACAAAGAGCGTGAACGAAAACATTGAACCTGCATTTACGGCTACGTCCACCCCAGTTCAAGACGGGAGTCATAATCAGCTGCAACTTGTCAGTCCCTAGTGCTAAATTCGAGTTATGCATGACAGCCGAAGACAGGTACTACGCCAATGTACAGTAGAGAATGGCTCAACTCGAACTACATTTTAGTGCAGACTCGCGTAGAACAAAGAATCAGAGCATGTTGTTGCTTCCAGATTCTACACCAGAAAAATAGTGTTAATGTATAGATGTATTACATTTTCCCTTTCAATAACCCATTTTTGTTGTAAAAACAGCTGTATCAGATGGTAAAATTAAATCGTTTAATGCTCTAATTGTCGTGAATAAATAAATTAAATCTTGCCTAAGCTCAATTAAACACAACTAGAAATTCATAAGATATTATGGCAGAAAAAGAAAGAATCCCATTTCCATCATTCATTCTGCCTACCAACCTTTTCAAGTTCCACACCAAGAACAGATTTGGAGTTTAGGTAATACATTCAAAGTCTAGGAAAAGTAAAGTTCATATTGCATTACAGTTTAAGCGCTTGGGCATGATGACGGATATGATCATCAACGAAGGTGGCGATGAAATAGTAGGAGTGATCATAACCGGGCTGTATGCGGAGGAGAAGTGGAACATTAACCTTTCGACATGCCTCCTCAAACTTGTGCGGCAGCAATTGTTCCTTTAAGAATTTGTCCTCGTCTCCCTGCAAGAAATAGAGGATAACGATAGCAACCAAGCTGTCTCCACACAATACACGACCAACACAATATGCTTCCATACAAAAATAAAAAAGTCCAATGCAAAATTTGCACAGATCGCAATGCCACTCTCAATTGGATATTTTACATGTTTGGCTAAGCTTATTTTAAAAAAAAAAAATGTAAAAGTAATTATGTTACAACCAAAATTTTTCTAGTCAAAAATAAAATGTTGAATTGTCAAAGTCAAAAGGATTAAAATGAAAATTTATTATGGCAAATATTTTGAAGGTTTAAGTTGGACAAAATTTAATTTTGGAATCTATTTAAATATTTTTAAAAGTTCAGGATTTAATGCCTTATGATATGAAAGTTGAGGGACACTTTTTGCAAATATGAGTTAGTGATCCACTAACTTGGCAATAAACCCATTTCTTGAGAAACCCAGCTGAGGAATCTGGCAGCAAAGAAAATTCGAGGGAAAAAAAACGACGAGAAAAGGAAATGGAAAGAAAAAGAGGGAAGGAAAATTAAGTTATGTTCTTCAATTTCTTCATGTCTCAAGAGAGGTAAGGAAGCAAATTGTTTATGGTATAATTTTTATTAAATTTTCTAGGGTTCTAAATTGTTAATTTAGTTTCTAGATTATGTGAAAGGGATATTGTTTTAGCTCAAGTTCTTTAACTGATTATTTGCTGCTTGTTTTAAGGCAAATAACTCTATTCTTAGTAAACCCTAGAATTTATAATTTAGTTTTTGAGTAAGTATAAATTGGGGAAATGATTATTTGATGGAAACAATTACTTGGAAGGATGAAGTTGGGGAATAAGATGAAAAATTAAATTAGTTGAATTGTTGGTGGCTAGTTTGGAGTTAGCTCAAATTGATTAAAGGAAATTGGGAAAATTTATTCAATTACAGAGAAATTGAGTTTTAGTATTCTTCTACTGATGATTTCCTTTTTTATTTTATAGAAGCATATTAATTACGTGAAATGTCTTATTTTCGAGAAATTAGTAAATGAGCATGATTATTTTGAAATTATTAGAAAATAACTGATGTAATTACCTTAATCTTGTACACTGAGGGACAACGGCCGTGTACTAGAGTCATGTATTTAACTCCTATGCATTGATAGGCTACAACCGTGTATAAGGATGATTATATTGTTTCCATCCCGTACATTGAAGGGTTACGATCGTTTACTAGAGTCATGTATTTAACTCCTATATACTGAGTGGCTACAGCCGTGTGTAAGGGTAATTTTTATCCACTGAGGGGCTATGACCTTATGTAAGGGTACCTATTATACACTGAGGGGCTATATTCGTGTATAAGGATGATTATGTTGTTTCCATCTTGTACACCGAGGGGCTACGGCCGTGTACAAAGTGTTGATCAGACGGTTTATGTGTATACGACTTTATAGCTTTCAGATCATCAGTAAATGTTTACATGAAGTATATTTTGATATGAATTTTATGTATATAGTGGATTATTAGCCTACAGCTTACATTTCTCCGTTTACAGTTCAGCTTATGGAGTTCAGATTATAGAATTCAATTTGTTCAGTTTTCAGAATGAAGCTTCCAATTTATAGTATTCAGCAACAACATTATTTCACAGATTTTCATGGATGTCAGATTATTTATATTCGTTATATTTACAGTTATTGAACTAGAATGAAAAATAAAGAATTTTATGATCCAATTATGTCAGTTTTAAAAGTGTCACTAGATTTCTGAATTTCTCAAAGTTTTAATAGAGCAAGAATTATGCACAAATGAAAATGTATACTTATTTTCAATTTATTCACTCAATGAGTTACAAACTCATATTCTGTTACCCTTTTCTTAGCAGATAGCAGCTATGTTGAGTAGCCTTGGAGCCTGTCGATCCACCAAGAGTGACACACACACATTGTCATTAGATGTATGACTCATTTCGTAAATTTATATAGTTCAAATTTCTTTTAGGATACATGTATGTTTTGACAGAAACGTTACTTGGTAATTTATAGATCCATATCATGAGCTTACTGCATATTTAGTATTCTCATTGCTTTTGGAGTCTTTTGTTTATAAAGCATGGTAAATGTCTTAAATAGTTTGTATTTTGAAGGACTAGCATGTTATACTTTAAATTATATGTGTAGTTTTGATAAAGTTGATATTTGCTCAGGTAATTTAGTCCATATTTTAAAGGAAATTCTGTTAAAATTTTTATACAAATATGCCATAGTCAAAATAGGTTAAGTTTGCCTTGGTGGTGGGGTCCAGCACTTAGCTGGTACCTACCATCGGCGCATGACACGTGTCGAGTCTATTAGGGTGATTCGGGACGGGTCGTGTCAAATTAGGCCAATTGCTTCTTGTAACATGTGGCTCATATAGAGTGGAACACAGGTCCTGGATCAAATGGGCAGTTGTCGGTGCGGAGCGAAGCAACGACATCGACCTTGCGTGGGTTTGATTCACTGTCTGGTTGTTAGGGACGCTGAATGGGTTGGGGGTGCGGAGACAACACTCCTGCGGTACGGTACGTGAGTATTTCTTGTACGGACCTTAAAGTCTTATATAGGCCCATGCTAGAGTTAGTATAAATAATAGGTTGTAACCCTATTTTTCGTTGTTGAATAAAAGATATCTCCGCTTCGCTCTCGTGGACGTAGGCACACTGCCGAACCACGTAAATTATTGTGTTGATTTTTCTTTTTATCTCTTTAATATTGTGCATAAAATCCAACACTTTTCTTTCAGGAGACACAACAAGAGTAACAAATGTAGTTGTGTTGTGTAACAAATGTAGTTGATCGATTTTAATATGCTTTTAACCTCATATTATATAATTAAGGAGTTAGCAACCACGAGGAACTCACCTGATCAATTAGAATCGTAGCAGAAACATTGTTGAATTTTGATATGAGACAAGTGGCATCATACTCCTGCAAAATTGTCAATTTTACGACATCTAAGAAACTTTAGGCCCTCAAGGAATTTTTATTTCACAAGCAAGTTTGGCTGAAGCATAAAAATAAGTAAAAGTAACTTCTTTAAGTAAATAAAGTTACTTATTTCGAATCTCTTTATGGCTCATCTCACTATCAAAATAAGCATATTACTTATTTACTATAAGTAAACATTAAGCTTAGCCAACCATGTTCATAGCCAATCAAAGATCATACCTGCCAAGCAGCTTTATTTTCACCCAAGTAATTTGTGAAAGCTTTCTGACCCCAGGGACAATTTATAGGGTTGACAATGGGTGCAAAAGCTGAAACCGACTGGAAAAGAAAAAAACCATAGAAAAATGATAAGAATGAATCAGAGTAAACAATAAAAAATAAAAAAATTGAGAAGCAGCATATATATA